GGTGACACGGCAAATTGCGGTCCAACCCGAAGATGACACGTGGAGACCTCGCATGCGAGGGATGACGTGTCCGAGGATGACATGCGAAATTTCCCGGTTTCAACATTTTCTTGATTTTTGTGCCAAAAACTTGCGAAAATCATAACTTTCGCATACGAGCTCCGTTTTTGACGTTCTTTATATGAATGCGTAGGTAAAATCATACTCTACGACTTTCGTTTAGACTTCGTCGGCTGATTTTCACTTTATTTTTTAATATTATTAGTTTTTAACAGACCGGGACAGGAAATCCGTTAAAAATTCATAACTTCTTCATCCGACGTCCGTTTTCGTCTGTCTTTTTACCGTTGTGCTACTTTTGACGAGACCTTTGATTCTCGTTTAAGTTGAGTCGGCTAAATATCGATCGATTTATATTTCGAATTTTTAGCTGTCTACTGCTAAACCGAAACTTCGAAAAATCATAACTTCCTCATACGAAGTCAGATTTTTACGTTCTTTTTATGAACGTTCTCGGTTTAACATATTCTACAACTTTCATTTAGATTGTCAAGGCTAAAATTGATAGGTTTTATACAAACAATCCTATGTGTGCACGCAACCCTAATTGGATCTATGTTTTCACTCTAAGACATACAACTATATGAACACAAAATAAACCCTAGCATGCTTCTATAATTTTCGAAAATCATATAGAAGTGTAGTAGACATACCTTTGTTGTTATATTGCAATAACAACTACTTTCCTTGATCTCTTGAACTCTTGAAAGCAAGCACCACAATTGTAGTGCCTCTAATGGCTCACAAACACCTTGAAGCAAGAAGGCAATTAAGAGAGAGAGGGGAAGGATGCTAATTTCGGCCCTAGGGTTTCCCTTGGAATCAAGTGGCCTAAAATTGAAGCATAGGGCATCTATTTATACTGTAGGGTGCTAGGGTTTCAGTCTAAACCCTAATGGATAGCTTAGCCACCAAGCAGCCCAAGGAACCTTCTGGAATGAGGCCCTTGGACGAAAATATGATGATCCCTCATCATAATTTCGTTCCCCCTTAGTCCATTAGGTTTCCCAGCCCAAAACTCAACTATCACACATTTGACAGTTTATACCCCTTTATTTAATTAATCTCTTTTAGTCACCAAATTTATTCCTAATTAATTTATGACTAATACTAATTAAATAAATATGATTTCTCCTTTAATATATTATTCTTATAATATATTAATAAACCATAATATCTTCTCTCTCATATCAAATTACCTTGTCAAGTTGCTTTGGTGAAGGCAACCCAAAAGGACCATGCACACTCGGGTCAAGTACATACCAAATATAGTTACGGACTTAGACACTAATCCAACAGTCTCCCACTTGGATAAGTCTAGTAACTATATCTCACATATGACTTCCGTATCCGATTAGCAATCGTAGCTTTCAATAGCCGCTGTCAACTCTGACCAATAATCTGTCCTTCAGATAAGGGATCGTATAATCCTCTGTTCTAGATATCATGCTAACAATACTTATTGTTTAGCATTTTATTTCTTGATCTCTGATTTGTTCGACATAGAACTCAGTTGAACACATCAACTTCATCCTGACCGGGCCCGGCACATAAGTCAAACCAAATCATCAAGTGGCCAAGATATCGCTTTTATTCTCATAGAATAAAAGGAACAGAAAAAACATCGACTAATATGCCTTTATCATTTACTAGTTAAACCACACACAATAATGCGTTTTATAACATCAAGTTACTGATGCGTTTTCGCATTATCAATGTATAATCAACTAGCAAACAATAACCATATCTCTAGGTTTAAAGATTATATGATATTATCATCTTGCGATCACTTGTGATAACATTCATGAAGTGATACCAGCAAGTGTGGGTCTATTCCAATGCTCAATACAAATTTCATAAGCACTCATAAACTTTGAGCAAACCTTTGCTATGTCTAAAACTTTTCAGACAATCTACAAACAAATTTATGACAATCTTCCTTCATATCTACTTCCAACATATGAACGATTGTGGACTGTTCGAATAATCTTATTATTCAGGAAGTCAAAACATGCAAAATTGAAACAATAGATAAATAATCAACACAAGATAGAAGCTTTCTTATAAATAACACACCTTTATTTAATCATCAAATGTTGAATACATGATCATCCATTACAAGTTTCCTACCTATCTAATCTAAACTAATATCGTCCTTCAGCCCTACGCTCCTAGCGTGCTGCAAATGCTTAACCCTACTCAGTCCCTTCGTGAGGGGATCTGCTGGGTTATCTTCTGACGATACCCTCTTCACAACGAGGAGTCCCTCTTCTACCCGATGTCTAATAAAATGTATTTCCTGTCGATATGTCGAGATCTGCCATGATCCCTTGGTTCCTTGGTTAAGGCAACCGCTCCTTCATTATCACAGAAAATTTCCATGGGCTCTTTATGGATGGCACAACTCCAAGGTCTCCAATGAAGTTCTTCAACCATATAGCCTCCTTTGACGCCTCGCTCGCCGCAATGTACTCTGATTCGCACGTTGAATCAGCTACGGTTTCTTGCTTGGAACTTTTCCAAGTCACTGCTCCTCCATTCAGGGTAAAGACCCAGCCCGACTGTGATCGGTAATTATCCCGATCTGTCTGGAAACTAGCGTCACTGTACCCTCGCACCCTTAAGTCATCACTCCCACCGAGGACTAGAAACCATTCCTTGGTCCTTCGTAGGTACTTAAGAATATTCTTGACAGCAATCCAATGTGCCCTACCAGGGTTCCCTTGATATCTGCTGACCATGCTCAAAGCGAAAGCCACATCAGGGCGAGTACAAGTCATAGCGTACATAATCGAGCCAACTGCGGAAGCGTAAGGTACTCGGCTCATATCAGCTATCTCTGCCTCTGTACTCGGGCTCTGAGTCTTACTCAGTTTGGTATTGCATTGGATTGGTAACTCCCCTTTCTTGGAATTTTCCATACTAAAACGTTTTAGTACCTTCTCCAAGTATGTATCCTGACTGAGTCCTATCAGTCTCTTGCTTCTGTCTCTCACTATCCTTATTCCCAGAATATATGCAGCCTCTCCGAGGTCCTTCATAGCGAAACACTTCCCAAGCCAGGACTTGACCTCCTGCAATGTTGGGATGTCGTTTCCTATGAGTAGTATGTCATCGACATACAATACGAGGAAGCTCACTATACTCCCACTGGCCTTGACATATACACATGACTCATCTTCATTTCGCAGAAAACCAAACTCTTTGACCTTCTCGTCAAAACAAAGATTCCATCTGCGAGATGCTTGCTTTAATCCATAAATGGATTTCTCAAGCTTGCACACTCTATTTGGATGCTTCGCATCGACAAAACCCTCTGGCTGATTCATGTAAACATCCTCAGCCAGCTTCCCATTTAGGAAAGCGGTTTTTACGTCCATCTGCCAGATTTCATAATCATGAAACGCAGCTATTGCAAGCATTACCCTAATAGACTTTATTTTCGCAACTGGTGAGAAGGTCTCATCATAGTCAACTCCAGGAGTTTGAGTAAAGCCCTTCGCGACCAATCGCGCTTTATAAGTGTGCACTTTCCCATCCATGTCTGTCTTCTTTTGAAGATCCACTTGCACCCGACTGTCTTACGACCTGGTACATTATCAACCAAATTCCAAACTTGGTTGTCATACATGGACTGAATCTCGCTGTCCATTGCCTCTTTCCATTTAGCAGACTCTGGGCCTGCCATGGCTTCCTTGTAGCTGTTAGGTTCGTCCAGATTCACTAGTGTACTATCACTAATAAACGTATCCCCGTCAGTAGTAATATGGAAACCATAAAACTGGGGTGGAACAATAACTCTACTTGAACGTCTAAGAGGTAAGGACTGGTCAATTGGTTCAACAGGAGTTTCCTCCTCATCTTGAACGCCAGTGTCAGAGGTTCCTTCTTCTCCTGACTCTTGAAGCTCTTCAAGGTCAATCTGACTCCCACTGTCTCCTTGGCTTATGAGTTCTCTTTCTCTAAAAACCCCTCTCCTAGCAACAAAGACAACATTGTCATTTGGTCTATAGAAGAGATAACCAAAAGACTTCTGTGGATAGCCAATGAAGTAACACTTCTCACTACGAGGTTCTAGCTTGTCGTGAGTCTCTCGTCTTACGAAAGCTTCACAACCCCAAACCTTGATATGTGCTAACGAGGGAGCTTTCCCTGTCCACATCTCGTGAGGTGTTTTGGTAACCTTCTTGGTGGGAACTAAGTTAAGGATATGGGCGGCAGTCTCCAAGGCATACCCCCAGAATGAGATTGGTAACGAAGCACGACTCATCATAGAGCGAACCATGTCCAACAAGGTTCGATTACGTCTCTCAGCCACACCATTCAATTGTGGCGTTCTAGGAGGCGTCAATTGTGAAACTATTCCACACTCTTTCAGATAGTCGTGAAACTCAAGACTTAGGTACTCTCCCCCTCGATCAGATCGAAGCATCTTGATTTTCCTGCCCAACTGATTCTCCACTTCATTCTTGAACTCTTTGAACTTTTCAAAAGTTTCTGACTTTTGCTTGATTAAGTAGATATATCCATATCTGCTATAATCGTCTGTAAAAGTCACGTAGAAGCGACAAGCGTCCCTTGTGGTGGATCTAAAGGGTCCACATACATCTGTGTGTATGAGATCCAATACACCCTCACCCCTTTCACATGTGCCAGTAAAGGGTGACTTGGTCATCTTCCCAAGTAAACAAGACTCACACACGTCATCGTCCCTAAGGTCGAAAGACTCCAAGACTCCATCCTTTTGGAGTTGGGCTATGCGTTTCTTGTTCACATGGCCAAGGCGACAATGCCACAAGCATGCTTTGTCCAAACTTGTGGACGAATCAATATTCAAAACATCATTTCCTAAATTATCAATAACTAACACAGATTCATAAATCCCATTACAAGGTAATGCATTGAAATAAAAGACACCATTCAAATAAGCATTAATAGAACCATTACTATTATCAAATGAATATCTGAAACCTTGTCTAAACAAACCATGAAAAGAAATGATGTTTCTTGCCATATCTGGCGAATAGCAACAATTATTTAAATCTAGCCCTAACCCATTACTCAACACTAAGGAATAAACTCCGATCTTGGTTACTGGTGAAGACTTCTTGTTTCCCATGATCAAGCTTATCCTTCCATGCTCCACTTCCCTACTTCTTTTTAGGCCCTGCATATCAGAACAAATGTGGTAACCACACCCTGTATCAAGAACCCATGAAGTAGCAAATGATGAGTTATTAGATTTAATTAAATACATACCTGCGAAGGTGGGTTTTATCTTCCCATCCTTAATATCTTGCAGATATTTAGGGCAGCTTCGTTTCCAGTGGCCCTTCTGGTGGCAATAGAAGCACTCTGCTTCCTTGGGGTCAGAAGAGGGCTTAACAGAACCTGCTTTGGTCCCACTAGAAGAAGAACCATCTTGGGTCTTACCCTTATGGTGGCTCTTGTAAGGAGCCTTCCTCTTCTTTCCCTTTCCTTGGCCAATTGCCAACACAGGAGCAGCTACAGTAGAGGATGATGCAATAGATTTGTCCTTGAGGTTGCTCTCAGCTGTCCTCAGGAGCCCTTGAAGCTTACTTAGGGTGACCTCTTCCTTATTCATGTGGTAGGTCATTCTGAACTGGCTGTAGCAGGAAGGCAAGGAGTGGAGGATGATGTCGATAGCCAAATCCTCATCAAACTTAACATTAAGTTTGAGAAGACGATCAACATATCTTTGCATTCTTTGCAAATGAGCAGTTAGGGATTCTCCACTCCCCATCTTAGCGGTGATCATGTTGGTGATGATCTCATAGCGCTCTTGCCTCGCGCTCTGGTGGTACCTGTCCAGCAAATCTTGGTGCATCTCATATGGATACATGTCCTCATAGGACTTTTGGAGTTCGAGGTTCATGGTGGCCAACATGATGCAATGAACTTTCGTTGCATCACGCTCGTGGGCCTCAAAGGCGGCCATCTCTTCAGGAGTAGCTTCTTCTGGGTTGATTCTTTCAAGCTTCTCGTCTAGGACATATTCTTTGTCCTCATAACGAGTTATCATGCGAATGTATCTCATCCACTCGTTGAAGTTGGAGCCATCAAATGTCACTTTTTGACACAGGTTCATCAACGAGAATGACCCAGAAGTGTTGTTGTTTGCGTTTGCGTTTGACATCTGAAATAGAAAGGAACAAAGTTTGATTAGAATGAATCCCTAATTAAACACCCACATGAGAAATTAGGGCTAGGATCCAACAACATTATTTACAACTTAGAAAAGGGATGCCGTAATCTAAAAGTAAATAATTTGAAGGTAAGTGAATGACGATTCACTAATTTTCACCATGAAAAACGAAAGAGGTTAAGTTTTAAATGTATTTGAAAATTCCTAGATTTCTTTTGAGATTCATTGAACATTTCAATGGCATGTTTAAATCTCGATATGCACTTCAAATTTGCGACTGGGATGCCGAGGATCGCAAACAAGTTTGTGAATAACCATGCGAATCATCATGGTGCACTCAATGTCTTCATCACCTAATCAATGTGCTGGTTAGCCACGCACGCTCCATTGATCTATGATAAGACATCGAGCCACCCTTTGTCACCAATGTCAATCCCAAATTAGTGTGCTGGTTAACCACGCACGCTCCACTAACGTTTGACAGGGGTACAAAGTGTAATTCCATGGAATAGCATCATTTTCACATTTTACCCTAAAGTAACTAAGAGTGGGAATTTGTAAAACAATGTAGTTACTTTAATATTTCCATTATACTTATAATGAGGAATTAAGTGCCCTATCCTATCCGTTCGGCTAACGACCCTCCACCAGTCAAGCAAGCGGTAGATGTGAGTGTACATCCATTAAGCGCCATTTTATAGGCAGCAACCTTATACCCACCTTATAGACTGGCTTCGTGAATGAGGCCTACTAGCGATAAGACTAGCTTATTCTTATACATATATATAATACTTAATCTTATAATATCATAATTGTATAAGGGTGTATTTTAAAACATTTCAAAATACTAGTGTCTTAATTGTATTTAAAATTTTCGAAAATTAGACCATTTAATTTAAAATTTTAAACACCAAAAAATCTTTGATTTAATAATTATCAAAATTAAACAATTAATTTAAAATATTAAATCATGAAGGATTATCATAAAATTAAACTATTAATTTACTTAATCCTTTTTATCCCCTAGATTTTGAAATTTATGGAAAGGATAATACAAGATCTTCAATTATCTAGTTTAAACAATTAAATTGATGATCACAAAGATAGCAATATCCAAATCCCTAAAATTTTGGGATCTTGTCTTGGGGGGCAAGGGATTTTCGAAATCCCTAGGGTTTCATAACCCTAATTTCGAAAATAGGAGGCTAGGCAAAAGGGTTTTAAGAACCCTATTAAAATCGCCAACTAGGGTTTTGCAACCCTAATTTGCGAAAATCATCAAGCCTTAGGGTTTACTTGCCATAAACCCTAATTTGTCAAATTCATAATATGTATCAAATCCAATTGAAAACAAAAACCAAAGGCTCTGATACCACTGATAGGTTTTATACAAACAATCCTATGTGTGCATGCAACCCTAATTGGATCTATGTTTTCACTCTAAGACATACAACTATATGAACACAAAATAAACCCTAGCATGCTTCTATAATTTTCGAAAATCATATAGAAGTGTAGTAGACATACCTTTGTTGTTATATTGCAATAACAACTAGTTTCCTTGATCTCTTGAACTCTTGAAAGCAAGCACCACAATTGTAGTGCCTCTAATGGCTCACAAACACCTTGAAGCAAGAAGGCAATTAAGAGAGAGAGGGGAAGGATGCTAATTTCGGCCCTAGGGTTTCCCTTGGAATCAAGTGGCCTAAAATTGAAGCATAGGGCATCTATTTATACTGTAGGGTGCTAGGGTTTCAGTCTAAACCCTAATGGATAGCTTAGCCACCAAGCAGCCCAAGGAACCTTCTGGAATGAGGCCCTTGGACGAAAATATGATGATCCCTCATCATAATTTCGTTCCCCCTTAGTCCATTAGGTTTCCCAGCCCAAAACTCAACTATCACACATTTGACAGTTTATACCCCTTTATTTAATTAATCTCTTTTAGTCACCAAATTTATTCCTAATTAATTTATGACTAATACTAATTAAATAAATATGATTTCTCCTTTAATATATTATTCTTATAATATATTAATAAACCATAATATCTTCTCTCTCATATCAAATTACCTTGTCAAGTTGCTTAGGTGAAGGCAACCCAAAAGGACCATACACACTCGGGTCAAGTACATATCAAATATAGTTACGGACTTAGACACTAATCCAACAAAAATGCCTTTTATCGAAAATTCGCTTTTTACACTGAACAGTATTTTGCCGGTTTTATCGCGGATTTTCGATTGGTCATAACTTCTTCGTTATAACTCGGATTTCAGTGTTCTTTATGTTTTTGGAAACCTTGTTACAAACTCTACCACTTGGTTCATCCCAATTACGATTATTGATCAATTTATTTTTGACCAAAATTTGACTGGTGTCACAAACCCAACCCAAGAACTAGGCGTTGGTTTATGTTATGATGTAGTCATCTCTGTTTCTTTACTCACCAAACAATGTATATGTTTCTGAAACATTACCAATGAAGTAAAAGGAAGTTGACTATCAAAAAACAAAACTATTAGAACATTTTATATTCAAGCTTGATACCATTTACATAAGAGGTTGTACACATTTACCAAATGGTAACAAGGACTGGTCATCGACATCATTTGAGCGAAACCGTTGTGATAATGCAACCATAGGTGTCAAAGGTTCATAACCTTTCCCTAAACATGTCAATTCAACCCAAAAGGCCACAAATCTCGACCATGACATGAATAAAGGATTCGAAGGCTCATAACCTTTCCCTTGAAACAAATAATACCTAAATCCTAAATGCCTCGAGGTGACGATCTCGACTTGACTTAAATGATTAGGGCCAGAGTGAAACTCTCCAAGGCCCAGGACTTAGAACAAAGTCCCAAAAGGGTAATCAGTAAACCGTAGCTAAAAAGGACACCCTAACAAAGCAAACTAGGCAAAAGGCCCCAATCTAGAAACCATGGTCTATCACCCAAAGAAAGGGGTAATTCTGAGCCCCCAGTGCGAGCTCCCGAGATAAGCCCAAAGGACCCTAAACAAATATGAGTCATAGAGTAATAAGTTGGGAAAATCTAGTAACATGGCTAAATCGCCAACCCAAACATTCACCCATCGAGCAAAAAGACCTAATTCCTTACGAAACAAGAAAGAGGTGACCCCTAAGGCCAACATAAACCTGGGAGAAGAATCGACTCAATAAGGAAAAATAAGGTCATATGCACCACCAGGGATTAAAAGCAAAAACATTACGGAAACAGAAATACCATACTATCAAAAGACAAAAAAAATTGTTTTGTCGGACAACTCCCAGACTTAAAATGGCCACGCAGGGCCAAACAACGATTAACAATATTGTATTTGAGACATCGTCTCTGGAACACCAAAAGTGTTAAAACATTGTTTCACATAAACAAGCCAGGAGGAGGGAAGGGTAACTTACCAAGCGAATCAGAGGAGGCGCCAGCTCTGGAAGGATCATGTTCTGGAGGAACATCTTCGGCATAAGAATCACTGCACAATAGGCGAAGGCCTCCCAGGTCGACCTCACCCAAGCGGAGATACGAAGCGAAGTTTGTCTTCATAAAATCCTTCACAGAGGCATGCATGGTATGGGTCAGCTCCACGATAACGCTCGACTCCCCAGGATCGAACTTCCCATAAGCCACCTGCTCTCTCACCACTTGTTTACCTCCTTCCACGCCGACAGCCATACATGTCGCTTTCATCCGCTTAACTCTAACCGAGAACTCAGTGCCCACGACCACCTTGTCCATTACTCGGACAACACCCTTCTGGAGAATCCACATCATGTCATCCTCCACGACTTTCCTCCTCAGCTCTTCCGCCTCCAGCTGCCCGCGCTGCTCCTCCACCCGACTCTCCAAAACCTTATTCTCCTCCACCAAGGCATCAATCCGCAGGGAAAAGTGCTCCACCGACCCATCCAAATTTGCCACCTGGTCATCTAGCAATGCCTTTTCCCCATCCAAGAGGTTGTAACGCTCCTCAAATTTGCACTTCTCCTCCTCCAGCCCGAACGGCTTCGTCCTTAACTCATCTCGCTCGGCCCTAACAGATGTGAGCTCTGATGAATCTAAATTAACTTGGCAGAGGCGCCGAGCAGCAGCCACCAAGGAATGAGCAACCTAAGTTGTCACGTACTGGAGACTGTTAGACATATGAGTGTTGCAGAGGATAATGCTATGGATCACCTTGACCGTGGATTAAGAACTTACTTGTTAGGAAGTAAAGTGGATAACTATCAAAACTATAAGCACACAAGACACAATATTTACGTGGTTCGGTCAATGTGACCTACGTCCACAGTTAGGAGGGGAGTATTCTTTCATTTCAGAGCTCTCAAACAGAGGTTACAAGTACAATTACACAGAGATTCGCCTATCACTCTATAATTCAAGATACCAAATGACATAGCATGCATCCCTATTTATACTTGAGGGATCAGACCTAAAACCCTAATGCGCCAAGCCCATTGGCCCAAAGGCCCGTGAATGGAGGCAACCAATCATATTCCGCCGTGCACCATCTTATAGAACATTCTTAAGCATCATAGAGGTCTTCATGGCATACTTTCCTCATCAAGGACCAAGATGGTCCGACTTGCACCATGATGGCGCAACAAGTGTATGGATGGCGCAACAGGCTTCAAGTGTGGCAGAAGAACATCAAGATTAGAGCAACAATACCACCTTGGCGCAACAAGAACATACATGGCACAACAAGGCCATGCATGGCGCAAGATCATACTTCATGACTCAACAGGAGTACCCCATGGTGCAAGAGGGAGAACCTTGGTGCAAGAAGGAATGCCCTTGGCGCAATAGCATCCATCTTGGACCAACTCTTCAACAGATGGCACAACAGGGTCCCATTGTTGCTCCATATTACTCCCAAGTTCTCCAAACCTCTTCCAGGTGCTCCAAACCCCCTTGTGTATGATCCATTCCTTTGGAACTTGATCCGTTCCTTTGTCAGACGATGAATTTATTTCTCATATGATCCTGTTAAGACTGGTTGTCACACCCGATTTAAACAAGTAAATTTATCACTGTTGGATGCACTAAAGATATAGCACAGGGAAGCAAGGTCGAATCCTCAGGGACATAGCCTAACAGTCAATACCTTTTTGCATCAGGCACAATCTAATCAAGAAACAGAAAGATAAAGGGGGGTTTGATTAAAACTAAAAAAACTAAAAATTTTAGTGATATTAAACTTAAACGAAAATTAATATTAAAAACGATTTCAGTTTTGCTGCGGCTTTCTTAATCATGCAACCAGCCCATATCTGATTATTTAAGATGCGTTCTATATAAGGTGGTACTGAGAAAAACTAACAAGCTCTAGTATAATCCATTTTACCTTAATTAGTTAACCAAAACAAGCTCTTTGAATTAACCCTAACTTTTTACTGTTCAATTAAACAAGCTCTTAATTAAATCAAAAAAATTACATTAAGTTCTGTGTAAAATTCCCATCAATACCCAATACTTCTCACAAGCTCGGAAACGTAAAGATATGATTTTTACAGTTTATATCAGAGTTAAATCCCAAAACGGAACCAATCTGATACTTGTTACTTTTACTAGTAGACAAGAACAATTACGGATTCTATTAACTGGTTAACTGGAATGATAAAACCCTATATTGGTGATCACACTAACAAGAATTTAAAACCAAACGTTCATTAAGCTAAAAACTGAAAATTCTAGATAGAAACACAAGACAAAAATCAGATCTGAAAACTAATCACATGAGAAGTACTAGTCTATGCAGAACTGAAAACTAAAGTTTAGCCAGACATGGCCAAAAACGAAATTAAACTAGATAAAAGAAACATTTACTGTTCAATCTTCTAAACTAAATGTGTGAGATGATTCACAGTCTTCAGATCTTTCAAAGTCGCTGAAAGAAATCAGAAATCACCTTCAGAAGTGGTTTTCTTCATCTGGAATCGACCAACCCTTTCAACTAATTATGAAGGTTGTATTTATACTCAAGGTGGAAGCTTCGGGAACCAGAATCTGGTAACATGCGATCGCAGGTAGGCCCTATGCGATCATTGGTTTTCTTAAAAACACGTATTGGGCCGATTTAATGACGTGCAATGCTATTCTGGGCTTTTTGGACATACATGCAATCGCAGGTCCATGTATATGCGATCGCAGGTTCATAGAAATCTTCCAGGATTGCATCCGATTGAAGGCCAAAGTCAAATTTGAAATTTCCGGAGTTGCGGCCGAAACATGCGATCGTAGGTTTGCCCCATGCGATCGCAGGTACCTCCTTTTTTTGAATTATCGACATGAAAAAATCCTTGAAATTGATCTGCGAACAAGATGCAACCAACCTGCGATCGCAGGTTCCTTATATGCGATCGCATATATGTGTTTTCTGCTTGTTTCGGACGTGATTCTTCGGTTTAAGCATTCCTTGTTATTCCTTAGCATCCTTCTTCAGTTATTACTCCATTTTAAGCTCCAAACGCGCATCCAACTGCTCCAAAATCATTGCTCCACTCGAACTATTTGAAATTGACATAAAAAACATGAGCAGTACGAGAGTTCTAATAGAATACATGAGCTGAACATTATTTAAATAAATGACGTGCAAATATACAAAATATGATGCTAAATGATAATAAAAACTACCCTATAATATGCATAAAATGACATCTAACAAATTTGTTCCTTTATCACATGCTCCATGAACCCCAAGTGTTCCATTAAGTTCCAAGTGCTCCAAATGCTCCATGAACATGATCCAAATGCTCGAGTCACATTTAATAGCTTTGATAATATCTTTATATATTTTTGGGAACGAATTTCGTAGTATTATTCTTCAAAAATGATACTCTTATTTTAAATAAAGCATAAAAAAATCAATATTTTCTGGTTGTGAAATCGGGGATGTCACATTATGCCATTTGGGTCATTATTGATCGATTGACAAAGAATGATTTGTTTTTGGCAATTAGAGAAACAACTCCTTTAGTGAAGTTATCCAAGTTGTATGTTGATGAAGTGATAAGACTTATGGAGTTCCTTTAACAATAGTTTCAGATTGTGACCGAATGTTCATTTCTAAGTTTTGGCACACATTGCAAGAATAAATGGGGACGAGAATCCATATGAGTATAGCTTATCATCCCCAAGCTGATAGCTAAAGTGAACAAACAATCCAAACCTTAGAAATATGTTGAGAGCATGTGTTATTAATTTTAGCGGTATATGGGATGATCATTTACCATTGTAGAGTTCGCTTATAATTGTAACATTCGTTTCCTGGTCCGGTCACCTAAAGACTTTAGGACTTCGATAATGATGTTTTTTGGAAAAAAAAACTTAAGTCGTAGTGTGGTTTCTTGGCGTTTGCGGCACGGTCACGACAATTAAATAAAGATTGTTGTGTGCTTGATGTCTGCAGCGTGGTGGCTACAACAACCCAAAACACTACGTCTTAGGCCTTGGGCCCTATTTAAGGAATGTTTGTTTAGGGTTTGTTCATTTTCCTCCAGCCTCCACCTTCAAAAAACCCTAACCATGAAACCTTAGCCACTCCTCACTCCATTCTTCCTTGTTTGGTGATGTTGGTGTCTTGAGAAGCCTTTGGTGTGAAAATTTAAGAGTTGTTGGTGTTTTAGCTCTTGTCCAAGCTTCATCAGCCTTCTTGATTCATTTTGGACCTTTGTAAGTCTTCAAGCTTACACCTTTATGCTTATATAGTTTTATGTATCTTGGTTTATATGCATGTTTTGGTCCCATTTGATGGTTTTGAGTTGGAATTTGGACAACTCCAGGGTTCAAGGTTGGATCTTTAGGCATTCCAAACCCATTGTGGTGCTAAGATCTGGACTTCATATTCATTTGAATGCAATGCTTGTCTTAACTTCATTCTGGGTTAATATGATAATTAGGGTTTGAGTTTTAGACTTAGATTGATGGTGTAAAGGATAAAGTTAGGAACTTTATCCATTAAGTCCCTTAGAAGCTTTAGATCTAAGATTTTAAGCTTTGGACGTTAAGCGTTAAGAGCTTAATGAATTAAGTTGCCATGACGTTCTCCGCGGTGCGGTGGAGGGCTTGCCACGGTGCATCCCACGATGTGTATCGTGTATGTTTTGTCCTTTAGTTACAATAGTGCGGTCAGGGAAATTGACCGCGACGCGGTGATCACTGTTGGCATTTTGACCAGTTTGACTTTTGGTCAAACTTTGGTAGAATTGAGTGTTTGGCTAAGGTATGGTTTAGTTTTTGCTTTAGGTAGCTTATTTTAGTTGTCATTGTTTATGGGGTTGTTGTTGAGCTTCTTTTGTTTAGCTCGGGTGAGTTTTCTCACTATACTTTATACTACAGTATAGATCGTCTATATGTCAGGATGTTAGTGATCTGATAGATAGATAGATTTGTTAATAATTGTCTGTGACCGCTTGTTTGGTTATTGTTTATTATTGGTATATGTTGATATATTGTGGATGGGTTGAGGGCGGTCCAGTCGTATGCTGAAGACCAAAATACCCGGGAGGCCCAATTAATATTGTTAAAAATAATTAAGGTATTGATTTAGCTTAAGTTATATATTAAATTAGAGAAAATTACAAATTTAGCCATTTTCCTTAATTACTTTGAAAAAAATAGTAAAATAAAAACCCAAATTACAAAATTAGCCACCAAAATCGCAGATGGATTAGAGCCATGTGCGATTTCGACATTTAATCTGCGAATGTACAAGCGTTTAAACCATGGGCGTGCATTGGTAGTTGTACGTTCGCAGATGGACATAGTCCATCTGCGATTTTATTAGTTGATCTGCGATTTTGACTTTTTAAGGGTATAAATACCTAAAAAAAATTGAACTTTCAGTTTGCAAAGTTTTTGTTGGGAGAACTCTTTCTAGAGGCGAAAATCAGTAGTTATTGACGATTTCATGTAAAATCGTAGTCAAAATTAAAAATATATATATTAAAAAATTTGCACAAATCATAGATGCAACATCAGCGGAAATCTCAGATGAACTAAGTTCATCTGTGATTTCCTCTGACGTTCTATCTCTAAAGGTACAACTGCCAATGCACGTCCACGCTTTAAACACTTGTATATTCGCAGATCAAATGCCAAAATCGCAGACGGCTCTAATCCATCTACGATTTTGACTTGATGGCTAATTTTGTAATTTGGGTTTTTTTAACTATTTTTTTTAAAGTAATTAAGAAAAATGACTAAATTCGTAATTTTTTCTCATTAAATTATAATTAATTCAAACAATATTATAAAATAAACATCTATTAAAATCAAATTAGTAAATAAAAATATTTTTTATTATTAACTACTTTAAAAAAAACTTGTTTTGAGTATATTTTATTGATTTACAGTTTTGTGTAAATAAAATTAAAAACATTTTTTCAATTTAGTATTATTTTTAAATACTTTTAATATTTACAACTTAAAAAAAGAAATTAAAAAAAAATAAAAAAAAGATAAAAAAAAACCTTATTTGAGTGTAAAATTTTTGTAAGGGACTATTTTAATATGTTATAGCAAATCAGAGTCATTGATATTAGGTCTGTAAACGAACTGAACGTTCAGCGAACTGTTCGTGAGCAGTTCGGCGGGAAGTTCGTTTATGTTCGTTTATTTAATAAATGAACGAACATGAACACAAATTCTCGTTCGTTTAGTTAAACGAACGAACATGAACAATGGTCTCGTTCGTTCGATTATGTTCGTGAACGTTCGTTTATGTTGTTCGTTTACGTTCGTTTATGTTCATTTATATAAGTTCCTTTTATGTTCATATATGCTTAATTGTGTTTGATTACATTACTATATTATATGTTTATTTATGTTCATATAGGTTCAATTATGTTTGTTTATTTATGTTCGTTTATCATGTTCACGAACATAAACGAACGAACATGAACAATGTAATTTGCTAAACGAACGAACATGAACAAGAAAACTCGTTCGTTTATCCGTTCGTGTTCATTTATTTTTTCGGCTAGTTTAAACGAACGAACATGAACAAGCCCCGTTCATGTTCGTTCGGTTCGTTTACAACCCTAATTGATATAATATAACCTGGTCAATTTTGATTGTACTTTTATGAGAAAAAATTGATACAAATTAATTAAATCATGAAAATAACAAAAAACATTATAACCTTATATGTATATCGTCCTTCAATTTTATGAAATATAATATTTTAAAGTTCTTATGAAGATAGACCACTCAAAAACCAATTTAGCACACTGCAATTGTTGATTAATTTATGTAGAAATAAACAAATCTGATTTTATAAAGTATCATGGTCAATATTTGTTTTGGTCATTTTTTATTCTTTTTATAATCTCACAAATAAAATTTTGAATCCTCACATTCAACATTCACCATTCACCATTCACCTAGCCAATTAGTAATCAAGGTACAATCTTTTAATACACAAAATACAACCTTTTTTTTATAAACCCTAGTTCTGAAAGTTAGAACCAAAAAGCACATAACTTGAACTTCATAACCAAAGATTCACCATAACATAATTAAACTACTTCATTCACACAATACAATACTTGCAGAAAACATTAAAATACTTTTTCCACTTTTACCCCTCACATGACTGAACAACTGCTTGTGTTTTCATCACTAAACATGTCAGCAGCAGAGTTATCACCGCCACCTCCACCTCCACCTCCACCGCCGCCATTAGCGGTGGCATAGTAGTAGTTATGTGGATGCTCACTGTAAGTGTAAGGGGCTGGATTGTAATTATAGTAGTACCCGGTGGCTGGTGGTATGACGGGTGACCTGTTGTACATCATCTGCGGTTGCTGTTGCTGTTGCTGTTGCATGGCTTGTCTGTTCTGTAAATTTAACATCATCGATGCAGCACCGTGGTTGTAAGTTTGCTGTTGTTGCTGCTGATGTTGGTTGTACCCTGCAACTCCGGCCATGTTCATCATCATGGATGCTTGTGACGATGGGTTGTAACCACCACCGCTTGCCAAGGGAAGACCACCACCAACACCGCTTCCTAACACCGCGTTATTCTTTCGAGGGATTTGAAAACCACCAAGTCCACCACCAACACCGCCGGCGTTTCCTAAACCGCCATCACCACCGCCGTTTAAACCAGCTAGATTGTTCATAATCGAGCTTATGTCATTCACCCTTTTAACCTCACCACCACCACCATGATTGTTGGTGTTATTATCACCCATCTTCATGCCGCCGTTCGGATTCCCGTTTCCTTTCTTTCCATTCCCGTTTCCGTTTCCGTTTCCACCGTTGCTTGGCTTTCCGCCATTGTTATGTGAATTCCTGGCGGCGTTGTTAGCAGCCATGGCGGCAGCATGTTGTTGCTGCAACTGCTGGTGTTGTTTCAGTAACACCAAGTGATTTGTTTTCTCGGTGATTATCCTCAGCTCCTCTTCGCTTACTTCATCGTCGTCGTCGTCATCAAGATAATCATCTTCTTCTTCGGAGATGCTTAAAGGTTGAAACTTTTGCTGGTTTTTCAAGGTTTCAAGACCTTTGATGAAATCTTGTTTCTGGGTCTTGTTTTTCTTGTCATCTTTCATACATGAACCCTTTTGATTTTGATGATTTGGAGTTTGGTTTTTGTTGTGAGTTTGACTTTGGTTTGACTTGTTTGACCAAAGTTCAGCATGTTTTCCAGCTCGAACTAGTTTCTTGATCAAAGTAACAGAGTCTACACTTCCTGAAACTGTCACTTTTTGTTGTTCTGCATCTATGTTCACTTGATATACACCTACAATTTTTACATACGACAAAACCTCAGTAATTACAAAAAAAATATTAATATAGTACTAATTAACTTCGGTGTTAGAACATGACATTTTCTTGGTCAATATAGATAATTGATATGTTAATAAATTTGAGATCTTTAACGATGTTGAGTCAAGATTATGGGGAAAGTGATAATGGAAAAGCCATTTGGAATCATTTCTCTTTGGTGTTAAAATTCACTTTTTATATGACATGAAGATAATAAGACAAAATTGATAAAAGCTTCAAAATGTTTCTTTTTATGGAAAAATACTAGCAAATAATTCCATAATTTAATAGAAACACAAAGAGTCCTTTTTAAAATTTCTAATGATCACAAGATATCATCATTTACGATTTTTGCATAAAATTTCGAATCATCAAAATCCCCTTAATAGCACAAAATACAATTACTTTCTCAATCCCAAAAAATCGAAACATTTTTCGAAAACAAAACAAGAGTAAGTTCAGTTTTAACATCATTAAAGTCTTTACCACGAACAGTCATGTCAATTTTGAAGCTAAAAAGTTCTCTTTCAATTTTAAAAGCCAAATGCATTATACGAGAGAGAGAGAGAGAGAGAGAGTGCACCATCAATTTTTTGAAGAAGTTTCTTCACTTTGTGTTTGCAACCATCACAGTGTAAATTCACTCTGAGAATACAAGTCTAGAGTCGACAAAAAGAATCAAAAATAAGTAAAACAAGAACAGTGTGAATGAACAGTAGCAATGTGGAAAGAAAAATGTCATTTAAGAAATCAAATTAAAGGCTATTCATCTGTTCATCGAGCACATGCGAATGTGAAGAGAAGAAAATGAAAAGAAAATTATATATAAATATAAACAAAAAAGGGGATAAAAAAGAGAAGGTTCACCTGGATCTTGAGGAGCTTAAAGTCTTCATCTTTAGTCATTTCTTGGGTGGTGTTTGGATCTGGCAGAAAAGGGAAAGAAATGATACAAGTGAATGTGGTTGTTGAGAGGAGATAATTTGAGTAGTCTTTTTCTTTTCTTTTCACTTCTCACTTTCCTTCTTTCTGAACTTGATAGGCTAAAAAGTGAAAGACATATGGGTTCTATTTAATAAGCAAAACCTTCAAAATACTAGGTTGGATAGCAATGTCATATTTTCTATTTTAAGATCATTTTTGCATTGATTATTATATTTTCTTAGCAACGTGGTTACTATTTTTGTTTATTCCAAATGATTTTGACTTACTTAATTAACAATATGTGATTAATAAGAAATGGGTTTGATATAGTGGCATAATATTATTAATCTTGTTAATATTTTGTAATACTAATATCGGTAAGAAATTGGGTTGATATATATATATATATATATATATATATATATATATATAGCGTTGAAATAAAAAAAAGTAGCGATATTCAACCCTAAGACAAATATTTTCTCGTTTATCGCTCTAGCACTTCGGCATACCGGCGTTGCGGCAGAGTTATGATCATAAATGATTATTCAACGTTGTTCATTCTTTTTGTGCTTATATCGATTTTGTGTTTAACCTCTACTTGATCATTGCATGGTAATTCATAAATTGATACATCTAGGTATTTAATCATAGTAACTAGTAATTTAATGAATTGGTAATTAATATAATCCTTCCACTAGAAATTAACCATATGAGAGGGGGAAATCGGAACTGAACAGAAATATTATTTAATCTTGAAGTAAAAATCGTTTTCTTGCTTGCTTAATTTTAATAGTTATTTGAATTGAATTAAGTTCTTCTAGTCTTGCAAACTCAGTAAAAACCATTTTTTTAAAGCTTGTTTCTTAGTTTAATTAATAGTAGTTATTTTCTAAAATGAAATTTTGTTCTCTGTGTTCGACGCCCGACTTACCTAAGCTATTCTATAATCTGACTAGGTACACTACCTATAAGTGCATAAACAGAATCTTTTATGCCCACATGAATCATCTATCTACATCCCAAAGGGAACATACACTTATTCCCATAGGAATCATAATCTTATTCTCGAATGAATCTTTATCTCATCCCTGAAGGAATCATCTTTTTAACCATCTTTATCTCTATCAAGTGACTCATCACATAATACTTGTCCCATAAACATTCTATCTCTTTATCTCATCAGGAGATCTTTTACTACTCATCTAGTAATTAACTCATTAAGTACTTAATCTCTATTTATGTCTATTAACATATAGGTATTCTACATAACACCATTAATGTATAGACATACAAACATACATACTCTTATGATTATATTACATATAATCATACTCTGCCTCTATTTAGCATCTCATAGGTATCCACATATACATTTTCTCATCATTAACTCAACGATGGACCTAAGTTGTTTCGGGGGGGGGGGTCTCTTGGGCCACTACTTCGCTTCCTTTCTATAGTGTAAAGTTTTTTTTATATATATTAGGGTGCAACCTCTATACAAATATAGTGCCACTATTATTTTTGGGTGCCACTACTGTCGAAATCTTCTACGTACGCCACTGTATATACTCATATATAGGATTATGAAACATATAATCCTATTCTTTCTTTATTTATTCTTATTGTTATTACTCATAATTGATGGGTTTCGAGCAAAAGAACATCCTATGTGCACATGCAAAACCCTAAAGCTTGGATCTAGGTTTCTCTATTGTACATGCAATTCATCCAAGACTTATAAACCCTAGAGCTAGCATACATATTTCGAAATTAACCTAATAGATCAGATCTAGATGATTACATCTCTTGAATGGCTTGAATCTTCGAATCTTGGAGCTTAGTGTCACAAATGTCACACCTCTAATGGCTTACAAACACCACAAGCAAAAGGATGATATTGGAGAGAAGGGAAGAAGGCACAATTCCGGCTATGAACTCTCTAGGGTTTCCAGTGGCTGAAATCTAATGCCCGAATGGTTCTATATATACTTATGTTGCTAGGGTTTCAGTCAAAACCCTAATGGACAGCTTAGGCCTTAAGCAATCTAAGGAACCTTCTGGAATAAGGCCTCCTTGGACGAATTCAAGATGTACCTCATCTCGATTTCGTCCATGCCTTAATCCATAAAGATTCTCAGCCCAATAAGTAACTATCACACAATTGACAGTTCCAGTCCCCTTTATTTAATTAATCTCTTTTAGCCACCAAATTAATTCTTAATTAATTCATGACTAATATTAATTAAATAATATGATTTCTCCTTTAATATATTATTCATATAATATATTAATAAACCATAATAACTTCTCTCTATATATAAATCATCCTGTTAAGTTGCTTTGGTGAAGGCAACCCAAAATGACCATGCACAACCGGGTCAAGTACATACCAAAATATAGTTACGGGCTTAGACACTTATCCAACAGTCTCCCACTTGGCAATCGTAGCTCTCAAAGACGCTGTCGTAGCTCTCAAAGACGATCCGATTAGCAATCGTAGCTCTCAAAGACGCTGTCGAACTCTGATCTTATCAGTAACCTGTCCTTTAGATAAGGGATCTTATAATCCTCTGTTCTAGATATCGTGCGGAAAATCACATGGAACATAGTCATACTTATTGTCCAGCTGTTTGTTTCTCGATCTCTGCTTCGTTTGACATAGAACTTAATTGAACACATCAATTCAGTCCTGACCGGGCCCGACACATAAGTCAAACCAAATCATCGAGGGGCCCAGATATCGCTTTTACTCTCTTAGGATAAAAGGTGTAACATCCCGAAATTCAGGTACAACTATTTAACCCTTCTCTTTTGTCAAGTTGTCAAGATTAGTCCCTGAGTGGGAAAGTTCCAAATGAGTACGCCGGGCGTACTGGAGAGTACGCTGCGCGTACTCATGCGCTTGAAATGGACGCGGACCCTTTAAGGTACGCTGGGTGTACCAAAGTTACGCTGGGCGTAACTGGTCCAGATGCAAACCCTAAATGAGACTTGTGCACTATATAAGGAAAGATATGGCCTTATCCTCAGCCACCATTTCGAAGAGAGAAACCCTAAGAGAGCATTTCCTTCGTCCTAAAGCTTGTGTGTGAGGGTTTTGAGCTAAAAGTGCCTTTATGTGTTAGTGAAGAAGAAGAGGAGGTTCTTGTGAAGGCTAGAAGTTGGAGTACAAGCTTGGATCTGAGTTCTTCAGAGGAAGGAGCTTCACTTAGAGGTAAAAAGCTCAGAACTTTCCTCTTTATTTTGGTTTGGTGATTCATGGTCCATTTCTAGGGTTAAAGTCCCAAAGGTGGAGACTTTATGAGCACAAGGGACTCCATGGACCTAGATCTGTCCCATTTCAGTGATATATGTGTTGTAGATCCATAAAAATCCCAACTTAGTCGTCATTAGGGAGTCATGTTTGAGTTATGGGGTTTAAAGTGTTGGAAGTGGAATGATTTGGGTGTTGGTGACTCTTACAGCCATGCAAAGGCTTAAAGTCACCAACTTTATGGATTAAGAGGCTAAGGGGTAGTCAGATCTGAAAGTTGGACGTGTGTCTTAACTGTTTAAGACCCCAAAAGTTAAGGAGTCTGAAACTGGGAGTTACGTTGGGCGTAATCCCAGTACGTGCGGCGTAGGGGGTCGCGTTCCCCGTTTCTGTGAGGTCGCCGGGTACGCCCAGCGTACAGGTTCGGTACGCGCAGCGTAACCCGGAGAGTTGACTTTTGTTGACTTTTAGGGTTTGGTCAAACAATTGGACTTTTGGGACCGTTGAGGGGTAAAATGGTCTTTTAGCCCTCTGAGAGTGCTAAGAGAGGGAACAGTCTAGCCCTGAGAGTTGTATTGATTAGAGTGCTTATTCCATGTGATTAGGCGGAGGCTAGAGCAGATTTTACCGAGTTCGAGATTACCGAGTTACCCGAGGTGAGTCTTCTCACTATACTGTACCTGGAAGGGTACCTATGTGTGACCGGAAGGTCTTATATGCTATGATGTATGTGCTATACGCGGTTATGTGATATGGGTGACGGGAAGGTCTTATATGCGATGATGTATGTGCTATACGCGGTTATGTGATATGGGTGACCGGAAGGTCTTGTATGCTATGAGATGTATGTGTTATATGCGGTTATGTGATATGTATGTGCTATGTATGTTATGTATGGTATGGACCGGAAGGTCAAGATGACATGGACCGGAAGGTCAAGATGATATGGACCGGAAGGTCAAGATGATATGGACCGGAAGGTCAAGAGGTTACGGACCGGAAGGTCGATACGGGTAGGACCGGAAGGTCTACCAGGATTTGGGACGGAAGTCCCTGAGACACATGGATCGGAAGATCCTACAGAGTTATGGCCTGGAAAGGCGTATGCGTGGTATGTGGTATTTTGGGGAACTCACTAAGCATTTATGCTTACAGTTGTTATGATATGTGTTTCAGGTACTAGCGAGGATCGCGGGAAGGCACCGGCATGATTCGTACACACTTACGGAGTTTATGTTATTGAGATTCTGGGACATGTTTTGTTATGACACAGTGAATACATTATGTTTTATGATTATCGTGTGATTGAAAGTATGATAAAAAAAATGAAATTGTTTTGAAAAATTACGTCGTTACAAGTTGGTATCAGAGCCTTGGTTTGAGGGATTCGGGTGCATCTTCGGATGAATCTGAACTCAAACTGAGGAATTGAGAAAGTTTTTCATAAAATAAACAATTTTTCTGAAAGAGTAAAAGATTTTGAGAAAGGCAGAAGGAAGCAGTGTGTACGATCAGCCAGCGCCTAAACGGTGATTTCCCAAAATACCCTTACATTATGTGTTATGAGATATGTTATGATATGGTATGCATGCTAGAGTAGGCTAGGTATTCATATTAGGACTAGAGTGGCCTGATTTGTGATGCCTTAACCTAGGAAGGATTTTGCTGCTATGTGATGCTTGAGAGCGAGTAGGTAGCAGTGAGGAGATGAAGAGAGGTCTACCGAAGGGGAGCCTATGCCAGTAAGATATAGAGTACTTGTGATCTAGGATCCAAGGAGGAGGACTTAGGGTGAATATTGATGCGGTGTGGACGGTAGTATAGGGCCCGTACTACTGAAGACACCGGAGCAGTGCGCACTCTAAGTAAGAATCCTTTGGGTACTAGAG